TGCTGAGAGTCAAGTCTCGACATGTTGATCCCTGCTTTCACTCCAACATGGCTGATGTCATCTGAATTTACAGCCATCTTATTCCACACACCAGCTCCTTTGCCAGCATTCAAAGTGCCTGTTATTGAGAGTTAAACCACACGCACACATTCAAAATCTGATTCTTATTTTTCGTTTTTGGTGTAGACCTTGTCAAATCTTGATGTTCGTTTGTGGTATTTGGGCGAAGAAATCTAAATGTGACAAGAAAAAAGAGCAAAGCCACACTTGCATATATTGTGCTAAAAGGAGAGGATGTTAAAGTCCGATTTCTGGCATCTTTTGTGGTGGTACTAATTAAAAACCGTTTATGTATCAAACGTAGCTGTGATGTTAAAAATGATGGCTGTAACTGTGATTTTATGTATATGTATATAGATATATAGAGATATATATATCTCTCTTAACCAGGCTCCTGTTTGACAGGTTTTTATGTCTGATGCATTTTCTGATGCATTTTCTGTGTCTCCTCCCAGGATCAAACTTGAGAGCTTTCGCTTGTTAGCCGAATGTGCAAACCAATACTTATGCATTTATATTATATGGTTTATATTTAAACGTGCTCTGCGTTCCTGATGCATTTTGTTTTAGTCTTCGTTATTGCCACCATGCAGAAGACCGTAAACTTCTCACTGGTCCACATGGTGGATTTTGACAGAAAGAAGTGATGGGATTTGATCACCTCTGGCCAATGTCTGATCACAGTATCCCAGTTTCAATCAATCCTTCCTACTTTGAACACATTAAGTGAAATAAAGTACATTTTAATTTGCTTGTTTTATCTAAAATGAGGTTCATTTTTACACAAGTTATCCTCAGCGTTTCTTCATCATCTTTAAGAAACAAGATGTGCTGCTGGAATTTCAAATCTTTGCATAATTGACCAGCAATCTGAGGATATTCGTGCACGTTTTTCGCCTGCTATTTCCGACCTTTTCGTCTGATTTTTGAAGAGAAATTCACCAGCCTGTGGCGTTGGCATTAAAGCGTAATGGTCAGTTTGGACTCTCCTTGCGGTGGTTTTGCTTCCAATTCCATTTTTAGAGGTGGAAAAAGTTCATTCTTGAGTGGATCTGGTTCCAGACTATTAATAAATCATGGCTGCGACATCATAGGGTGCTGTTGGCGTCACTGTGTTTATAGGGCCGGATGAGCATGATTTACGCATGTAAACACCCTCAGATTTATATTTAAACAAGTTGTCTTAACCCTTTCATGTTCTTAAGGCATTAAAAAACTGTTTGCATCTCTTGTGTACTGAAGCGAACCTCTGGTATTTCTTAAAAAAGAGATTTTAATTGGAGGACAACCTGCAGACCTCCTCACCCTAATTAATGGCAGTCTTGCTTTCTAATGTTTTACTAACTAACAGTAAAGTGGTAGAGAAAGATTTGGGTGTCGCACTTTCAGGGTGTTACTCCAAAAGGAAAAAAATAATTTCCTAGATTGGATGGGCTAAAGTAGACGACCCAGAGGGAAGGGAAGATTTAAACAGAAGGAAATAGAGGCTTAAAAGAAAAAGGAGGTAGAAGTTGTAGAAGTGATGATTTGAGGTCCTCAGGAAACAGGGTTATGTTTTTTTCCGGGCTCTGAGGGACCGTAGCCAGCCCAAGTTCTGTGTGTTTCCTCTTGATAACACTCAGCAACCTCACTTGTTGTCACACTTACTTGCACTGTAGAGAGTCTGGACTGCGTTGTTATAGAGGGATGAGTCTAGCACGTTTTGTGTTTATTCAGTTGTCCTCCAAGTTGTCCACCAAAACCTGCAAGGAATCACAAGCATTCAGTGTTTCCTGACATCGTCGTAGTTTTGGCAAAGTTGGAAATGTGAATAAAATATAAAAATGTGGAAAAATACAGATGCACACAAGAGACAAGGAGGAAAGGAGGGGGAAATTTCTCGAAATGGAAAACTACTGGAATCATTGCATGATGGGCTTGCTTTGTTCTTCGTCCTATCTTTGTTTTTGTCAGTCAGTCAGCTAGTGAGCTTCATAATGAGCTTATAGCCTCAATTTTGAATTCAGTTTTACTGATCAGGACAAAGTAAAAAGGGATGAAGTAAAAGAGGTACTAGACAAAGCCCCGCAGTGGCTTCCTCACACCTCTCCCCATCAAGCAGTCGTCTTTTTTTGTCTTTTTTTTTTTATCAGTGCTCCACACACCACCAGTCTGACGGGATAAATCTATAAGTGTTCGCCGATTAGTCGACGTGTTTCATAAATGTAATTTTGACTGCTTTTGCAGATAACGCAAAGGCAAACCGGCGAATCTTATGGAAGGAAAACAATGCAATGCATTTAAATGTAGTCTGCAGGAGGGGACCTTTCAAGCTGCAGTGTCATGACTACGAATCCACAGCCGTGCTCAGCCGGAGTATGACGATCTTTAATCTCGCCGGTGAGAGATTGAGCAGTTCATATTACCTTTGAAGCTGATTTGACAAGTGCACATAAGCTTCAGCTACGAGCCATGTCACCTGTGGTGGGGGAGAAAAAACCAGAATACCTGTTGTAATGTTCCGCTCCCTCAGAGCCAAGGGAAAAAACATGGAAAAGGGAGTGGCCTTGCTGGTGAGTGAGTAAAAATACGTGAGGCTAGGTGTGTGTGTGTGGGTTGAACCATCATTACCTTGGGATCTGAGTACACGGCCAGACATCATTAGGCTTTAAGGCGAGAAAGTCTCCGCGGCACTGGTTTCGCAGTCTGCCTGACCCAGCAGACACGACAGGCCGGCATGCCGTTTAAGATCATTTATTTGGCTTTGCGTGTGTATGTGTGTGTGTGTGTGTGTGTGTGTGGGTTCCTATGCGTGTTGCCTCATGTGTGTGTTTGTGTGCGTGTTATTTATTTATTTTGCCTGGTAATATGCCTGAGCCTTCATTATAGCGGGAGCCATAACTTTGATAAATCACTTGGGCTTGGGGCCCTCACTGCTTTCACAGTATTAGAAAACTAATTGAAATTCTCTTCCGCCCCCTCCTAACTCTCTCCCTCGCTCTAGCTTCCCCTTTTTTCTTTTTCCCTCCCGCTCTGTTTTTCACCCTTTCCCTCGTTCTCCCTTCCCGTCTCCTGTATCGAGGGCCAAACAGTACCGTGTTTTTTCAGTGGAATGGAAGCCAAGAGGGGGAAAATGTCATCACTGATTTAATAGGCATATTCTTACTGAGACACACACACACACACACACAGTTCACTCTGGGGAGTGTTAGGAATCTTGATAATGTCATCGCAGGAATCTCTATAATGTACTCAGGTGTCCTGCAGGCTCCAGTTTGACTGTGCCTCTCCTCTGTTTTTGATTAGATGGGTGCGATGGGGTGGGGTGGGGGAGATTTTAGGTTTAGGGTGATGGGATTTAGAGTTTAGATTCTTGTTTCTGTGGCTGTGATTTCCACCTCCCCGCTGTCTCCGAGATTGAAGGTCTGTTTGGTTCATTGCCTGGGATCTCCCAGCTGCCACTGGATTGAGGGTTTAGTCGTTTCATTGTTCATGATCCCCCCCTTGCCGCTACTTGATTTGTTTCATTTGCAGAGATGTCTCTGTGCTGCAGCTACAATCGGGGTGTGGCTGTTTTGTCGTGCAGGGTCTCCCAGATGATTTTTTTTTTTCTTTAGCTGTCAGGGATCGCCTCATAACTGCTGGATTTAGTTTTTTTTTGTCTTTATAATGATGCTCTATCTCTCAGCTGTGGCTAGATTTTGGGTTTATTTGTTTTGTTGTCCAGGATCTCCCTCCTCCTGCTGCAGCTGCTAGTGCTGCTGGATTTTAAGGGATGTTGCCACTTTTTAATAGCCAGACACTGCTACTGTTTGTGTGACACTTGGGGCTTTGTGTCCACCCAGCAGTCCCGCTTCTCTCGCCAGGCGAGCTTTGTAGTGTGAAGCCCAAGATTTAGCGATGAAAGCAGAGACTCTGTGTGTATATGAGAGGCGGCTTGTGTGTGAACCAGGCGATTTCGTAGAGTTCTGTCAGCACACAAAATTCCCTCTGCAAACATTCCTCTGATGTGATGCAGGCCCAGGGGAAAAGGGCAGCGTGTGTGCCTCTGCGTGTGTGTGTTTTTGACAGTTGACGTGCGTCTGCTGCCCAGACAAATCCATACCGCCACTCTGAGCCACGCTGCAGGCACATAGTCACACATAAGCATACACACGTGGGTTATATGTGTGCGTTTTGGTTAATGAGGATGTGTTGATTGATTAGACTGCAGTAATTAGCTGGAGTGTGAAGGCCTAGAAAGGTCTCCACTCTGGTGGGAGTGTCCCCTCTAGAGAGATGTTGAACTGTGCTATGCACCATTACATCACACACAAACACGCACAGACAAACACCACAGAAATGGTTCCATCCAAATCCAAGATGTGGGATGAGTCATCTCTCAGAGAGACTTGGTGCAAGCGCGAAGGAAGGGAAAGGATGTTTGCCGCGCGCGTGCGTCGGAGCCCGAGACAGAAGGATGTTTGCAGCGTGGAGATGTGTGCTGCACACATGAGATGTGCTTGTGCCAGCAGTTTCCTTTCCTGCACAGCATGGCCCCAACACTGACCCGATCCCTCTGCCTTACAAATCAACTCTCTCGCTCACTTCCTCCTCCTCCCGTGCTCATTTGCAGTTTGGCTTCCAGTCTTCCACCCAGATTTCTTTTGTGCAACACGGAGCTGCTTCTAGTAAATGCAAATAATGTGGTACTAAATATGACAAGCTCAGTGTGAAGCCCTGAGTTAGGAGCATGCACAATGAACTGCTTCGGGAAACCATTGCACACAGTGCCACCATATGGTCGGCTAAAGAACTGCGTGTTGATTTAGCGTTCTTGTTGGCATACTTGATGCGTGTAAAGAGGCGAATAAAATTCACTTAAAACTTTAACTGTGCATACACCAAATGTTCTGTACAACTGAGGTAACCTCTGCTTTTTTTTCTCTCCTCCCTTTTGCTCCATCCTTGTCCCCAAATAGAAAGTTCTACTACATCACTCTGCTGAGGGACCCCGTGTCTCGCTACCTCAGCGAGTGGAGGCACGTGCAGCGGGGCGCCACGTGGAAAACCTCCCTGCACATGTGCGATGGACGAACCCCAACGCCCGAGGAGCTGCCCTCCTGCTACGAGGGGTCCGACTGGTCGGGGTGCACCCTGCAACAGTTCATGGACTGTCCCTACAACCTGGCCAATAACAGACAGGTACAGAGGGGGGGGGGAGATCATAAGCATCAATGTTTATTTTAATCTCAATAACTTTAAGAACATCAGACACCAAATGTCTCAAATCACTGGAAAAGTTTCTGTACACCATGTTTTTCCCTTTTATTTTACCTCATAACACACAAGAAGGTGTACTGGCAAATTCTCATAGAGCTAGATTGTTATTTTACTATCATTTATTCCTGATGTTTAAAACTGTCTGTAGTCTTGCTTTGTCTCCTCTAAGATGTGTGGCCTGTCCTGGCAGTGGTAGCGACTGGTGATTGGGTACCACAGTTTAAAAAAGCTCAGTTTGCTTTCTTATTAAAAGTAGCGAGGAAGCAAAAATCCATACCATAAACATAATGGAATCACAAAGCTTTGTAATGTATAAAACCAGCCTCAAACGTTGTCTAAAGTCAGCACAAAAGTGTCACCAGGAGTTATTCCTTTGTATCCATTGATTTGGTTCATAATTTAATACTGATGGACTTTTGTGCAGTCTTGTGTGCCGTTTCAGTTGAAGTGTGGTTGTTTTTATCCACCTGTCCAGGGATAATGGATGCAAATTAGATGCTGTGCAAATACTTTTAACTGTGTGCTGTCACTTTTTAAAAATAAGCAATAAAATAAGTTAAACCTGTGCACTGTAATAGGCCTTGACCGATATAGGATTTTTAAGGCCAATACTGATATTTGAAAAGAAATTGGACATTCATATTATTATAGATACAGATTTTTTTAACAGTTTTCACACAAATGGTCAAAAATGGTCCATCAAACTTGCATCACATCACCAGGCCTGACTTCTCTCCTATCAGGTTGCTTTATCACCGTGAGAATTACTGTACAGATGTTGAAAACACCAGCAAAGATGCACTTTGGCTTGAATTAAAGTTAAACAAGTTCTCCTACTACTTTATTTCATTTCTTACATATAAAAAGTGCCTGGTACACTTGTAAGATGAAATCTGCATGAGTGAAAATACACTAGATCTTTCTCCCTCTCTCTTACACACACACACACACACACACACACACACACACACACACACATTTACTAGTACACCGTCAGGAGTTTGCCTTCTGGTCATAAACACCTCAAATTCGCACCTCCTTTTCTCATGCTATCTCAGTCTCCCACCTCAACGTGTTGGCCAGCTTATCTCATCTGAGCCTCGGGGTGTTATTACTCAGGGTCCTATGACTTATAAATGCGACACGCGCGCACAAACACACACACACATGCATACTTGAGGAATCCTGATAGACCAGCGGGCTATGGTGCATGCAGTGAATCCAAATTTATGTCCAGTCTGTTTGTTTACTGTACTTTAACAGCCCCCCCGTATACCCTTGGTAATGAAGTGATCTCTCACTTTGGAGCAAAATTTTCTTGGCTCTAATCTGCTCCTGCTACTGGAATTTCAGAGGGAAATTTGTTACTGATACCAACATTTTAAAGATAACATATGATGTGCCGGCAAAATCAAAGATTTCAGGATCAAGGCTGGACGATGAATAGTGAAAATCCAAGTAATATTTGTACCACCTACATAAATTCTGTTGCTCATGCAGTGAGTGACAGACACTCCATGGGCTCGCACAGCCGCCTTCACGTCCTTTTCTCCCGTCTTTAGGTTCGTATGTTGGCGGACCTGAGTCTCGTAGGCTGCTACAACATGTCCACAGTTCCAGAGAAGAAGAGGGCCCAGCTTCTCCTGGAGTCTGCCAAGAAGAACTTGCGAGACATGGCCTTCTTTGGCTTGACGGAGTACCAGAGGAAAACACAGTTCCTCTTTGAACGAACCTTCAGGTTGCGCTTCATCAGGCCTTTCATGCAGTACAACAGCACGCGGGCTGCAGGGGTGGACCTGGACAACACTACGGTAAGTGCAACATTGTATTTACCGGTAACTCTATAATGCCAGATGTATCATCTTTGATATACGAGTTCTCTTTTCCCCTGAAAAACCTAAATAAATTGCACAAAAGTAACAAAAGTAGTAGATGTAGCAAAAATTAACAAACAAAAGTTAAATAAAAATTACATTCCTTTCTTTCTTATTTGTTCAAAAATAAGAATTTTCTGGCAATTATTTTAAAGCAGCTTATACTATAATCACGCTGTTTCTATTTTAAGATGATTTATTTCTCATTGCGTTCAAATTTGTATTACTTGGCAGATACTTTTTTTTAATAGAAACTGGAAGAAAAAGGAAGAAGTACAATAAGCTCAAACGAAAAATGAAGAAAGGGGGGGAAATTTCAAAAAGAGACGGAGAGAAAAGTCTGCAGTCTGATATTGCTGTGAAATGAGTTGGAATGACTGTTGCTGTTGAGAAAACAGCAGCTTTAAACATGTTCTTCACACTTGTGTGGGAGTTTTTAAGCTCAGTTCTCATCTTAAAAAAAAGAAAGAAAGAAAAGAGAAATCCTCCAGTATACAGCAGACTGGTGATTTATACATCAAAACCAGTTGGAGCAGAGAATATAAAATATGCTTCCGACAGATGTGGCGTTTTGTGTCGCATTTTGTTTAAAAAGTAGGTTATAAAATTGGTTTAAATCTTTGCGAAGCTGAATTAGTTTTTTTTTAAAGGAATTCAAATAATTATATCAGCAGGTTTGGCGGAGACTGTTTACTTTAGACTGTCCTCTAAAGCTGCTGAAAGCCCACTCTTACCCTCATCCCTTCAAGATCTCAGTGAGTCATTTTTGTTTGAAACTGGTTTCTAAATAATTCGACGCCTGTTCTCAGATAGCCGTGCGCCTTCTCCCTGGCTTTCTTTTGCTGGTGTCCCCCCCCCACGCCGCTGATCAAACGCCTCAGATTTTCTAACATCGACGCATCACGTCGCTTCCCCCTGTTATCCCACACATGGCTCGCAAATGATATCCAGCACTCCATCACAGATTTCAAAGGGATTCTCTTAATTAAACACACACACCCCCCACCTCCATGTTCAATCTGCACACAGCAGATTACAAAGCCAGCTGCATGGCACAACCAAACAACGTGTTTCTGTTGTCTCCACGCTGGCGATGCATTCTCTTTCAGTTCCCTCTCTCTGCAGACGCGCTATAAAGCATGTGATCAAATGTCACAATGGGATATTTTCACAATTCCAACTTTGAAACTTTCCCAGCATCGCATGGAGGAAACTGAGACTATATTTAGTTTCTGGGCTTGTGCCTTGAGTGTTTTGGGAACTTTCTGGGCCTGAGTTTGTAATATTGAGCAGTATTGATGGGTCATTAATCAAAGAAATATCCCTGTGTCCCCAGAGTCAGTGTTTGGGTTAGGAGTGGACACAAGTTGATGAAGAAATTAAGGCTTCCACATCAATCCCAGAGCAATCCAATACCATGGCTAAAGTGATAATACATTCAGCTCCATGCATTTCCAAGCATATCGGCCTTACTTGTGATCCATCTCACTTCCCCTGTGAGTTTAGTTGACCAAAAAAGGGAGATGAGCCGAGGGTCAAGTATGATCACTGTGTTCTGACCTTCATCTCTCCACAGAGAGTTTTCTTTTTACTCCCGCCTACATCAACACTCCAGATAAGGGAACACTTTGTGTTTTTTGCATTGTCAGCAAGCGGCCAGGCCGTCCTTGACGCAGAGCACGAGGTAGAGCGTGACGCAGTCAGGTCACTGTGCTCCAAAAAGGTCCGCCATGACTGACCCTTTCTGGTTCCTCAAACTAGAGTGAGAGGTCAACTTTAAAAATCTTATGGAAACAATACCGATTAGAAATCAGTGCAATCTAAGAAGAAACCTGGAGCTATTGAAACTTTTAGAAAAGCTAATAAAAGCCTTCCCTGTTCTCTCCCCCCCCCCCCCCCTTTCTCCATCTCATCCACCCAGCTAAATTTCTCCTGCTCTCTTCTTAATAGGTCCAGCGTATAGAGGAGCTCAACGAGCTGGACATGGAGCTGTACGACTACGCCAGGGACCTGTTCCAGCAGCGCTACCAGTATACCAGACAGCAGGAGAGGCGGCAGCAGCGCATCAAGAACCACATGCAACAGAGCCACCAGGGCCTGGGCATCAGCCTGTGGCCCTCCCGCAGCCAGCAGAGCTTGGTGTCGACACTGGAGGACGGGGACGGAGAGCGGGAGGAGGGCGAGGAGGGAGGTAGAACGGAGGAGGCGGGAAGCAGGCTCCCCACTGAGGACTACATGAACCAGATCATCAACCGCTGGTAGCAGAAGAATGAGAACAAAGAACAGACATGCATATGTAATGTGAAATGCAAACACATACACACACACTTACACTCACACACACTTACACTCACAGAAAGTGGCGCCTGCTTCAAAGACCCGACTGACTGGAAAAAAAAAATACAAAAAAAAAGAAAACTGACTTTACCAGAGTTGGGCTGCGGGAATCAGAATCCGAGTGGGTTGCTATGGAAACCTGAGCTTGGTCGATTGCATCAGCTCACATTATTGAGGTTTGCCCAGTTGTTATTAGCGCCTGCTTGACCTTTCCTCCCCTGTGCATTTCTTTGTCTCTCCCATCATCATTACTGACTGAGCAGAGGAGAGATATTTTTAAAAGTCGCTGACAGCTGAGTAACCCAACCAGCACTCCCGCCTCCGCTCCTCCTTCTGTATTCCTCTCCGTCTCTATGGCCTGATATGGAGCATGAGAAAATGAATTTAAGTCTGTGAATTCCCGCTAATCCTTGCAAAAAAAGAAAGAAAGAAAGAAAGAAAGAAAGAGGGAGAAAGGAGAAAATAAAGGACCAGTCTACTTCCTGGATTCTCCAATTTCAAAGGAACTGGGAGAGCAATGAAAATGTGCTGATTGCTGGGCCGAACAAAGAAAAAGGTGCGTCAGAGACTGCCCCAGAAAGATGGAAAGAAAAGTTGTGTAATAAAAGCTTTCCGCTTTACAAATAAAAAAATGAAATAAAAAAAAATCTGTCATCTCACCCATGAACATGCTTTGGCCATGAAATAGTGACATTCTCATTTTAGGATGAATTTATTTGTATTTTTCCTTCTGTGTTGATGCTTTTTTTTTTAAAAAAGCACAATTGTAATAACACTGAGACCAACATTGCTGCCTAAAGAAAAGTAATTCCTTTATGTCTTTGTTTTTATTTGTTTTATAAGTCAAAGCAAATGGATTAGATTGATGTACTATGGACCATAGCCATTACTGAAGCCTTGCTTCTTAGGGGTGGGAATTTTTGTTTTTTGTTTTTCTAGTCAAGGTTTCCACAGCCCTTGTCGCTTGATAAGTTCATTATTTCTCTTTTTTTTTGGTCTCCATCCTGCAGAGAATGACAGCCAATTACAGCGCAGAATCTCACATAGGTGCGAGGAAATCAAAGGGAGGGGAAAGGAGCAAGTGTGCTGCAGGTTGTTGCCAGGAACTGTGTGAGCGGCAAGCGCTTTGGAAGCCTTGACTCAGACAAATGCTTGAGATGGGAGCCATGGAACTTCTGGTCACCATGGCAATGTGAGCTCTTAATGCAGTGGGTGGCATTTTCAGTTTCACCGTTTATTCCCATTTCTTTCTTTTACCTTCTGACTGCGTTGTAAAAGTAGCAGTCTCAAAGAAGCTTCCGCCCTACCTGCTGAAAGGGCGCCCACAGCGCCGGTGACCCGCGGTTCGTTAGTGGGAGCTGTCTTTTTACCCTGAAGAACGGACAGGGCGAGGTAGCAGTGCCTCTATGTACTGGGAATCATAGTCACCATAATTATTGCTGATACTATGTCTGCATTACACTACAGTAATTTCTCTGACTACTCGTGAGTCTGTGTGGATGAGTGCAATTCTGCAAGAGTGCGTGTGTTTGTGTAAATAGTATGTACAGTATGCCTTTGATTGGCGTATGTGTATGCCTTTGTAAATAGTGTGCCTGACTGACTGACAGAGGATGTGCGATGAGTTTTGCGAGTGAGTGGCTTCATGACCAATTATAATGCCTTTTTTGTTTTTGTGGAGGGCAGCATGTCAGAGCAGTGCGACCCTCACAGTGATGCAAGCCAATAATACTCCCCTCCCCTCTCCTCCTCCCCCGCGACCTGTCCTTAACCCTTGTTTTTTTTTGTCTGTTACCCATGATGAGGCTACGTATAAAGACTATCAGTACGACCACTTAAAATCCTAATGTGCATTTTTGTCAATCAGTCATAAGTAAGCTTAGTGGGATTTTTCTCCTTTTGTGACCTTAGTTCCCCTCTATGTTATTCAGTGATTTGGTCATGTAGCGTTATGTATGCAAACTGCAGGAGGGAATCCAAACGTGCTATCCAGCAGCTGGCCGTATCTTCAAAGGCTTTTCCACGTTCCCACAGGGGTCCGCTTTTTAACTGAAAAGTTAAATATTTGCATGGGGAAGACTGAAAAACTATTTCCACGCAGCGTGCCAGCTACTGGCACAGGTCGAGCAGGAAGCCTGTGGAAAGATCGGATTTAAAATGCGTCTTTAGCCCAGGGTCATCATTTTATTGTTTTCTACAGTAAGTAGCTGCTTGAGTCACCACAAAGAGAACTGGAGACACAACTTCTATCCAGATCACAGGTAAAAAGAAAATTAGATTTTGAGTTCAAAGCCCAAGGTTGCGTAGGACCTCTGACGTGGTCACAGATGGGGCTCTAATGGCAGCAGTTTCCAGTCATCTGTAGCTAATCGACATTAAGTCCATAGCAGCTGAGAGATATCTGCAATTTTCTGTATTCTGCCAATGATTGTTTCCTTTCTATAACTGCTGGGAACTTATCTGGTTAGCTGAACACGTCTCAGGAATATAATCAATACTTTAAGGTCATCAAATTAATAGCGCCCAGCTCACTGAAAAATATGGTGCAAAGCTACATCTGTTCATTATCACTTAATCAAGACTTTGTGCTACAGTGGGATTTCGCTTTAGGCTTGAGTTACAGGCTGGAAACAATAAATGTATTTGTTTCACATGCATGGAAGGAAGCATTTTGAAAGAATTTGGGTTTAAAAGTGGATTGGAGTTGGAAAAAATCCCTCATCGACCCTGCCTGCAAGCAAACACTGTCAGCAATAAAGCGGGAAAACGAAGAGAATGTAAAAGTGGGACGGGAAGAATCTAAACTGAATGTAGTCCGCTGTTTGTGTCCTCAGGCAAAGGATGCAGGCAAACAACCTACTTTCCTGGTATCCAAATACATAAGATGATTCATCTGGTTGTTAACGTTATTTTTTTTTTTTTTTTTTTTTGTAAACAAAGGGAACAATTTAGCTGAAATTTAACAGGCCGGATCCTCCTGTCCTCCTGCAGATCTCTTTATTTGATCAGCTCTGTTTAAATCAGGGATGATTTATGAAGGAGAAAAGAACAAGGGCGAGGGGGGATGATGAAAATGTACTGGGACACATCCAGAGTCAATATGCTTCTTTTAAAGTAATGCATTAGGGAGAGGAAAAATGGTTATAGAATGAGAGAGCTCCCTTTTTCATATTTTTCCATCTCAGTCATTGTATTCTTCAAACCGGAGATTTTTATTTATTTTTTTCCCCCCCTAAGCTCCGGGCGTTTTGCCCACAACTTCTTTTTCAGAGTCACACTCACATTAGTCCATGTTTTGGCTCGAAACCAATAATATCTGGCTCCGCATTAGTGGTTTCGGAACAAATAAGACACCAATTCTGTATCTCAAGAGCGTTTCATTTTCAGCGTCCCAGTTTCAAGTGTAGTAGTCCTCAAAAACACTCCCCGTACCTGAACAGAGTGTGAGAGGAAATCTCAAACCTTTCACCGAAATGATTCCAGTTACCGATGCTCTGAAGCTATGCTCAGATTTTTGTGTCTGATCTCTGTGTATATCTGATGTCTTAACAGCATTTTTCTTTGTGACAATGAAGCAACCCGGGTGTCGCTAGCATCATGCTTTTTATTTTTTTAAAGAGTGTGATAGAGATGTGTGTTGTTTGTTTTTGTTTTTGAGTTGGTGTGCAGTCTGTCTCTGGCTCCTTCTGTATGCATATTTCTGGGATTGTTTCTTATGATTGCAAAAATGAATCATCAAGCCACCAATTAAAATATTTCATTTTTACAGACCGGGCTGTGTTGTGGTTGTCACTGCGTGTCATTTCTGATGTTTCCCATTCTGTCACTTTATTATCAAGCATGAAAAATATCTCCCGTTTTTTTTCTTTTTTTTTCTAGCTGGAAATTACATCCAAGGTACTGAACTTGAAAACGAGCCACATGTTCAATTACACTCAGTGATTTTTTGACAGCTTGAGTGGGAGCCGAGACCTGCAGGTTTCCACACTCCCATTCACAGGCCAATTTGTAACTAAAGGATTTCTTTCTTTTTTTCTTTTTTTTTTACCTTTTGCCTACACTAACTGCAAAACTGTGACCCCATAAAGATGCCCGTTCCCCCACCTAATGACGGTCCTCAGTCCTGTCGCCAGTGATCTACAGCCTAATTCAATGTGCAGACACTCTGAGCCTGCCTGATGCACTTATATGCACACAAATATGCTTCTTCCTCTGCTGTGGCAGGTGGGTGTTTGCGAGGAAGAGGACAGCCTGTATAAATATAATTCCGTGTCCTTGGCTGAGCTTCCAGAGGAGAGAGGCCTCCACCCTGCCTCATCAACACACCAGTGAGCTTCAACTCTGACCTATCGAGGCAGGCGTAGAAAATAATTTGCCAGGACAGTGACGAGCAGGGCCAATTGGCTGGAGGGAGATCAAAGCTGGCACGGACAAGAGCAAGAGTGTCGAGCAGATGAGGAATCAGAGAGAGTCTTTATGTAGGACATGAGGAAAGAGATGCTGGGTTTTTTTGTTTTTTTTCTGCCTGACATACGAACAGAAGAGCGGGATGGAAAAGGAAGAGCTGCGAAGCCTCTCTGGCAGCTGGCAAATGGTGTATTAGACTGAACGCAGTCTTTAATCCTCCCCCTAGCTCTGGGTCGCTGTCATTCCAAGTGCAGCTGGACTGGACAAACAATAATGGCTCGACCGTTGCAGAGGGGTGGACAGCTTTTGTGCGGCTGAACGTGTGCATGTGAGTGTTTGGGAGAGAAAGCGCTCGCTCGCTTTTGCAGTGGGAATCCAGCTCCAAGTTGATTGTACGGACTCTGGCTGCAGTCCATTATTAGCAGGTCAAACTGGCTACAGCTCCTCAGTGCTGGTCCCATACGTGCGCCGTGCAAACAAAGAAACTCTGGCGTTATTACTGCTTATTTTCAGCGTGGAATTCTGCAGAGAAGTTCATACCGAGTTGCTCCCTTACGTGCATCGAGCCAGGCTATTGTAGTTCTGGAGGACTGCCCTGTTGGCGCCGGCAGCTGGTCACGATGGAGTTTGGTCTTTGTGTCCGGGCTTGAGTCATTTCCAGCAGTGGCATGGCTTAGACCCTCATCGCCAGATATACAATGTGGATAAATCTCTCTACACAAACAATTTGCAGAGTTTCAGTACCCTGTTTTGTCAGATTGTGAATGCGGAGGGCGGTGAGGGAGAGACAGCAGTCCAGAGTGGGAGTACGCATTTTTCCCTTTAGCAATAAAATAAATATGATTAGATGGACCATCTGGGGCTGTTATCTGACCTTCCACTCCACGTCTGGCTAATCTCCCAGGTCAACACCAAATCACCTCTCGTGATACTGCAGGATTGAACAGAAGAATCTAACCTCCCAGGCAGTGCTCTGCTGACTTACACTAGTGGGAGTCCAATCTGAAGGATCTCACAATCCTATTAGGCTTGAAAAATGTGTGTTCATTATGTTTGTTTGCACGCACGTGTGTGTGTGTGTGTGTGTGTGTGGAGCTTTGGAGCTGTGGGACAGGAGCTCATAAAGAGCTGATCTGCTGCAAACTTATTAACCTCAACATAAAAGCCTGATAAATGTTGATGTTGGGGAAATGTAACAGGACACAAACCCGCAGGGGCTGGGCCAGCCCATGAGATCTAAAAGGCTGTTTAAAAGGGATAACATATTCACATTAAGTGACACATGGATCCTTCGGAGAACACAAAAAAATGCTACAGTGCAGGGAAAAAGTGATGCGCTCATTAAGCGTGTGCATTCTCAAAAGAAAGCACCTGGATGTTGTTTTTTGAACATTTTTAATGGACTAAGCAAATATTTTACTCAAACATATACATTTATCAGGGTGTAATTAAGGCTTCCCAACAAATTAATGCATTCTTATGAACTTTGAATTAATCAATTAAAAATATAGAGGTGCAGGCATCGGTTTGTGAAAGCGCCATGTAAGAGTTTCTGTGCAAGAGTAAATAAACGTGACTATATATTAACAGCTGAGGCGAACAGCGAACTGACAGCCTACACTCACTGCAGATGAATGACCAGAGTTGTCATACTGTAGCCACCAAGCCAGGATTATCCACTTTCAGTTCACCCAGCCTGCAATCTACTGACATCTAGTGGTGAGATACTGCATATTGTACCTTTAAGTTGTGGAGACGTTTCACCTCTCGTTCAAGAGGCTTCTTCAGTTCTAAAGCTAAAAGCTGGAGAATCCCAGCTAAAGCCTAGTGGGGGCTGTCCCCTTCAGAGGTGATCGTTGACCCGTTATTGATCATGTGAGGGTGTGGATCATTGCCATCACTGGGGGTTAAGGGTGAAACTACTGTAAGACCTTGGCTGACTTACTCACGTCACCTGAGGTAAATTTGTGAGTGGGGCTTGAAGCAATGCATTGTAGGTGGTTGACGTAAGCCACCACCATGCATTTGTGAAGTTTCTCCTGCGTAGAGATCCAAGCACTCCTCACTGCCCTGCACAGCATATGCTACATTGTTTAGTTAAGCTGTGGTGATGAAGTCCAGTTGCCTTCCTTCTTTTCAAGCTCTCGAGACTACCGTGACCTGAATGACTGAGAACCTGCGCAGATGTTTACGTACGGGTGTAAACAAAACGGTCCTCGTCTCCGGGTGTATTTATAGGAAGCGAGCTCAGATCAGCAAAGAGTGTTTGGTCGCTGTTATGTGGTGAATTAGCTTCATGTTAGTGACCCCAGCTGACCCTCATTATACAGTCAGGGACACATTTAATTAGCAGCAACTCACGTGAAACGACAAAATGTATTAATATTAATGGAGGTTTAATTGAGGTCGTTTTGGTCCCCCGTCGAGGCTTTCAACCTCTAAAATGGCTGACGTGCGATAGTGTGAGGAGAGGGAGCCCACAGCCCGAGCTCGCCATTTCGAATGTGACCCCAGAGAAGATGGCAACCATCTCCCATAATTCATCTGAAGATGTCACCTTCCTGACAGATGAACAGGCCCTGTGGGCAATGTGTGTGTGCATGTGTGAGACGGGTTTTAGCTATATTTATGCGGACTAATGGGATGTTTAGGCCTGTCCTAATAGAGATATGGCTGAGTTTTCTGTGTATGTGTTAGATTTTGCGAGTCTGTCCGCATGGGCACGTCAAAATGAAGGTCAAAACCAGAAGGATAATTAATGTTGCTGCTTTTTATATAATGTTAAATCAAACCCTGGAACTGCTCCCTCTGGAGGATCAACTGTCCAATTTAATTTAGGCTGCTAGAGCGAGTAAATGAAAATGCAAGAGCCATGTCTCTGCACCCTGGGACACTGTCTCCGTACCTTTCATCTTCTTTATCAAGACCACACAACAGGTAGAAAGGCAGTCTGGCACATTTTACCAAATCTGCCCCACAGGGATTGTCTATCTAAAAGATATCGCACAAACTCAAGGTAAAGGTTTACAAAATGATCCCAGGTGCTCCTTTCAAAATAAGAGGGTTTTCAGTTTATCTACTTTTTCATTACCACATAACAAATACTTTTAACCAAAAGGACAGGTATGAATGAAGGATTTATTTCCCATGGTTATTACACTGTGCATATAGAATATGTAATTCCAGGAGCTGCATTTCAGAGTAATACCTAGAATCCCAAATACATATAGCTCAACAGCCACTACACACTGAACAATGCTCTCTCTTTTACAGTTCTACAACAGGTGAGTTTTTCAGATTTGGATCAGCACCGGAGACTTGACTTCAGAATATGCATGCTAATCAGTCACAACATTAGGAAGTGAAACATGTGTCTTATCATAGTGAAACGTGTGTAAGGGGTTGGATGTATTGGCACCAATTGAACAATTTTTCCTTGAAGTTGATGGGCAAGTATAGTATCTGAGTGAGATCAGGGTCATGGACTGTAAAGATTGATCCTAATTTGACATAGACAAAGTGTATGGAGACGGTCATGAGAGAGGTACAACAGTGAGTGTCTATTATGAACATAAAAAAGCATTGTCAGATTTTAATGTACCATGCAATACCATGAGGAGAGCAGCAGGTTGGGAGCAGCTTCATATTTCAACATAGCAATGATCCCAAATACACTGCCAATGTGGTAAAACTATACTTGGATAGAAAACAAACAATGCAACACTGTCAGTCATGGATTGGCCTCCCCAGAGCGTGGGCCTCAATAATATGGAAGCAGTGTGCAATCAACTTGACAGAGAATGGAACAAAAGGCAGCTATCCAATGACGAGCTTTGAATGCCCTTCAAGAAGCCTGGAGAACTATTCCTGCAGACGACTTAAAGAAATTATTTGAAAGCTGAATAAGACATTTCAGGTCGTGTTGAAGAACAGCGGCAGTAAAGTGAACTGACGAGCCAGGGGGATGCTGGCGGGAGGGGCTCTTGCAAGGCTGAAATGAACTTTTTTGTTTCAAGTAATTAGCATCATAATTAAGCTGCCTGAATAAATAAGTTGGGAGACTGAACCTTGATTTAAAAGGATTGTGTAGGCTTTCTAATGCCCCTTTCACCCTTTACAAAGTACGACAAAATAGTTTAGTCCAGTCCTTTGTATTCCCAGAAAAGCAAAACGTATCAAAAACAAAAGAAAGGGAGGAAAGTAAGCAAACTAAGGGAAGTCAGCTGTGTAAAGTCAGTAACAGGTTAAGTTGCTTGGTTCACCTATCAGCAGCTGGTAAAGAAAGTGAGGCAATGTGGAATGTGACTCCATATCTATCAGAATGACCCAGCACAACTTGAAATTCGTGGCCCTTAATTTCAACAACAG